TACATCACTCACAAATCACCCTGCTATTTTGTGTCGACCGCATATAAGATCAAGCAAACCAACCTGTGAGTAGGCAAAAACTGGCCATAGAAGCACCATAACGCAACCGAGAGCAACCAATACTTGTAAGACAGCATGCTAAATATCATATCTAGTTCAAAAATTTCTAAATCGCTCAACAGAGTTAAGAAAATCGCCACAACCTTCATCGCTGCTTGTTCTCCTCTAGCTTTATCCAGGCACACAGTGGCATAACATGTTCTGCTGATTAGAAACACTATCATCGGGGCAACAAATCTAAACAAACATCAAAATGTGAGGGTTAAGCTGGTTAAATCACAAAACGAACTTATTCAAAGAATCCAATACAAGATAGGAAGTACAAGCAGTGGCGCTAAACTGCCAAGTGCCAAATATGAGCTCGATAACGAGTAGCAACATTGCTGCAATGGAATTTTTTTTCGCTTGGAGAATCCTCGGTAATGAAATAACTTACCTATCATAGTGGTCAAATCGCCAATTACCAGAGCAAAGATAAAGAATAAAATGCTTTTTGGAACCTGCAATTGAAGAAATTGAACATAGTGTGTGTAAATCATCTCAGTTTTTTCGTTGAAAGGTAGCGTTCGGGCATATTGAAAAGTGGGGACCGCCCAGTTTGGTGTGCGGCCCGGCCCGCCTTTTCAAACAAAATCTTCCAAAAAATTAACGTTTTTACATGGCAGGAACAATAGGAGGCATACTGTTTGACAAGTTCGTGGGTGTTTTCAGCAAGGCTAGCACTATTCGCTCGCGAAAAAAAATCTCAAAAAGCGTTTTTTACAGATTCATTCTCAGGTGCCCTATTGAAATCAGCGCCATACAAAGGTGCCTGCAAGACCAAGTGGAAATCTAGCATGTTTCCAAAAACTGAATCAGTACACCTACCGTATACCGTAAGGGAACCACAAAGGGCATTATCGGGGACTTCAAGGGCTTCTTTGTGGGGAATAGCCAGAAGCCAAAGCCCTTGAGTTCCCGATAGCAGTCGCTTGAAGAGGGTACCGCTTACCTTGACTGCTGGAGCAAATAAGAGTGGTGCCACCACGTACAATACCCAGAAATTGACGACAAACCCAACAATGTTGAACCCGACATAAGTGAGCGCCACGTAGGTACGGTAGCCCTGTAGAAAAATTGAGAAGAGATTGACGAATAACATGTACGGATGATTCATGCAAGCAGAGAATGGAGCATTGCGGTCAACGAGACAGTATGTATTTAACAGAGGCGGCAGACGGTTAGATGGGATGATAGTGCACTTGAAAATAGAGACGCTACAGCGTACGCGGTGGCGCCCTGTCTCTGCTTGCGATGACTCGCCTTTACACTAACATAAAAGAGGAGACTTACCTGGAAAGGCACACGTCTTTCTAGATGTATCCATCCTTCATAATCTGCATCTTCAGATGTCATTTTCTGCAAATATCGAATCAAAAACGAAAAATAAAAATCTTAGGAGACACCAAGCTTATTGGAGTAGACAAGGTGAGTAGTAACCGAATTGTTAGAAAGCAATAAGGCAGAAAGGAGCGACTGAAGGAGAAAATATCATTTACGAGTGGCTAATCACATTTTGTTACTTCTACCATCATGGTTCTAAACAAAACGTAAGTGCAGATGTGACGAAGAACTAGAGAACTACATAAACGGGGATTTTAAAAAGCAAAATTAGTGGTCAACACAAAAATCGAATTAGAAAAATAATAAGAAGTTTACTGCAATCCAGCTCATGTAGGTTGAGTCGCTGATAATTTTCAACGTCTTTAAAATTATATCCGAAACATACAAAAAATAAAAAATTCGTAA